ATCATCGTATTGACAAAAAAAAAACACACCAAAAAAAAAAAAAACAGCAATAATTGTTTTATTATATATGATTCAATGATTAAATGACACACACTCATTAAGAAAGCCATACCATCTTACTTGTTCACATCCACTGAAGTACTAGGCAGCCGAACATAATGAGAGAAAAGGGTAAAAAAAACTGTATTATTTTAGAATTTTTAATTAGGGCCCTATAGTGATCAGTCTGTCCATCCGTCCGTCCGAGATCTCTTGTCCGGAGCATATCTTCTCTCTCTTTGGCCCAATCTGGCTCATACTTCACCCACAGAGTGTCTTTGGGTAAAGGTTGTGCAGTGACCTTGAACCACGTTTCTAGGTCTAAGGTCAAGGTCATAGCAGAATTATATGAAAAATCCTTGTTCGGAGCATATCTTCTCTCCTCTTGGTCCAATGTGGCTCATACTTCACTCACAGAGTGCCACTGGTCAATGAATGTGCAGTGACCTTGAACGAAGTTTTTAGGTCAAGGATCATGGTCAAAAATAGCTTCTCTATTTGAATCCTTGTCTGGAGCATATCTTCTCTCTCCTTGGCCCAATCTGGCTCATACTTCAACCACAGAGTGTCTTTGGGTAAAGGGTGTGCAGGGACCTTGAACCATGTTTCTAGGTCTAAGGTTAAGGTCATTGCAGTTTTATATGAAAAGTCCTTGTCCAGAGCATTACTTCTCTCCCCTTGGTCCGATGTGGCTCATACTTCACTCACAGAGTGCCACTTGTCAGTGGATGTGCAGTGACCTTGAACGAAGTTTCTAAGTCAAGGGTCAATTTCAAAAATAGCCTCTCTGTTTAAAATCTTTGTTCGGTGCATAATTTCTTTCCCTTTAGTCCAGTCAGCCTCAAACCTTACCAATTGACTTAGGGTAAGGAACATTTGTGATTTTCCTTCCATATTTCTGATAGAGGATATGCAACAATTTTCATAGAGGATATGCAGCATTCGTGATTTTGGTGCCGTTTTTTTATGGAAGGTGTTGAGCACTCGTGATTTTCTTGCCATTTTTTATTATAACGAGGATAACATAGACGCCCTTTAGACTCAAATAACACATCCCTTAATAGTACACAAATGTTCCTCTTCAAAATAAACCCTTTTCAGTTACCATACATTTTCGTGTTCATTACTGAAAGCGGGGCCCTTTGAGATGGCCACCATCTCAATGATATCTAGTTCTAGTTTAGGTGCAATGTAGAAAAAATAAATGTCAGGCACATATATAGGATTGATTGTGAAAAAGGGCCATTAAAAGGAAAAAAAATACAACTTACCTGAAAACAAATCTTTGACTACCCCCCCCCCCCCCCAAAAAAAGGAAAAGAATTCTCCAAACTCAAAATTTTATTTGGTGAGTTGTAAAGGTTCATAAACGAGGGGAGGGGGGCTTTCATTGAAATTTTTTATCCTCAGAATTTAAATTAAAACTTTACATTCTCAAAAGGTGGAGAGAGGGGCAGGCCTCCTGCAACCCCCCCCCCCCACACACACACACCCCTCACCCAAGAATCTATGTGCATTAATGTTATGTTCATATGAGTGGAAGTCATGTGCAAGTGAAATAACTTTCCAAAACTATTTGCATCAATTTGGAATTTTCCTATCTATTTTTGGTCCAATGTAGAATAAATAATTCCTTGTATTGACCTGAAACGTAGTATTTTTCTAACATTGTTGGATCTCAGCCAATCAGAGAGATGGGAATTATTCAATCATATAATGAATAGGAATATATTGTAGGAGAAAAAATCTGCTGATGAAGAACAGCAGGCTCAAATTGACTCAGGTGAGTGTTGTGCCCCCCTTTGCATCTTTTTTAACAAAACGTGTTAATGGGGTCTTTGGCTCTTCTGAGCCAAAGGTTCAAAGAGCTAATATGCCTATGGCCATTTGTGCGGTGTGCGTAAATGTTTTAGAATATGGGCCATAACTCAAGAACCCCTTGGCCAATTATTGTCAAATTTGTCACAGGGTATCCTTGGCCCAAGTGCTCCCATTTATACTAAAACTAGCGTTGTGATCCTTAAACAAGGGATGTTAATTAGGTAAATAAAACCAAAACTACTGGTTGCAAAAAAAAAATCTTCTCAAGAACCACTGAGCAGATTATCACCAAACTTAAACAAAAGGATGAGGATATGTTGTAGATTAAAAATTGTTCAAGGCATCACCCTGGGGCAAAGGGCGTGGTATCAAGGTCACTTCAAAGTTAACCAAAAATTACATTTTATCAGAATGTTGATATTTTGCTTACTATAAGGAATAGGATCATCAAATCTTGTCAGTTGATGCATCTAAGGACCTCATATCATGTTGACGCAAAAGTAGGTCACGGTGACCTACTTTTTTAATTTTGCGGTCATTCTTTTTCAAAATGATTTAGAGGCATATTTTGAACAATTTAAGGCCTATGATCATCAAACTTTGTCAGTTGATGCATCTTGAGTCTTTGGAGTACGTCAACTAAAAAGTAGGTCACCATGACCTACTTTTTGAACTTTATGGCTAATCTTTTCAAAAAAATTTAAGGTCATTAATTTGAATACTGAGAGGTTTAGAACCATTTAATCTTGCAAGATGATGCACCTTGGGGCCATAAAACATATTTATTAAAAAGTAGGTCACAGTGACCTCCTTTTTGAACTTTGCAGGCATTTGATTTCAAAGCGTTTTAGAGGCATAATTTGGACATTTTAAGGCCTATGATCATAAAACTTTTTAAGCTGATGCATCTTGGGTCCTCGAAAAACGTCAAAATTCATACTTTTGGAATATTATGGCTATATTTAAATATTTAGGGTACTATTTAGCTTAGAATCATCAAAATTTGTCAGTTGATGTATCTTGGGTTCCCAGAATAGGTCGACTGAAAAGTAAGTCACCGTGACCTACTTTTGAAATATTATGGCTATATTTAAATATTTCAGGTACTAATTAGCTTAGAATCATCAAAATTTGTCAGTTGATGTATCTTGGGTTCCCAGAATAGGTCGACTGAAAAGTAAGTCACCGTGACCTACTTTTGAAAATTTATAGTTTTAATTATATATTTCAGGTACTAATTAGCTTAGAATCATCAAACTTTGTCAGTTGATGCATCTTTGGTCCTCGGAGTACGACAACAGAAAAGTAGGTCATCGTGACCTACTTTTGAAATTTTATGGCGGTATTTTATAATTTCGGGTGCTACTTGACTTAGAACCATCAAACTTTGTCAGCTGATGCATCTTGGGTCTTCGGAGTTCGTTTAACTGAAAAGTAGGTCACCGTGAATGTTCAACGTTCAATGTATATGGCTATAATGAAATATTTCGGATACTAATTAGCTTAGAATTATCAAACTTTGTCAGTTGATGCATCTTGAGTTCTCGGAGTAAGTTGACTGAAATATAGGTCACTGTAACCTACTTTTGAAATTTTATTGCTTTATTTAAATATTTTTAGGTACTAATTGACTTAGAATCACCAAACTTTGTCAGTTGATGCATCTTGGGTCTGCAGAGGTAGTCAACTGAAAAGGAGGTCACTGTGACCTATTTTTGAAATTTAATGGCTTTATTTAGATATATCAGATACTAATTGGCTTAGAATCATCAAACTTTGTCAGTTGATGCACCTTGGGTCCTCAAAGTATGTTATCTGAAAAGTATGTCACTGTGTCCTACTTCTGAAATTTTATAGTTATAATTTTAAAAATATTTTAGGTATTAATTGGCTTAGAATCATCAAGTTTAGTTGATGCATCTTTGGTCCTCAGAGAATGACAAGTGATAAGTAGGTCACCATGACCTACTCTCAGGTACTCAGGTACTAATTGGCTTAGAATCATCTTGGGTTCTCAGAGTGTTTCATCTAAAATGTAGGCCATTATGACCTACCTTTGGAATTTCAAGGCTTTATCTTTATATACAGGATACTTAGAAGCTTCAAATAGAAGTGATAGGTTGTACAGTTTATCAGAAGAGCGATTCAAGACCCTTGGGCCTCTTGTTACATATATGATACTACACCTGTGAGTCGTTCGAGTGTTGATATAATTAATTGGTTAATAGGTAAAATATAAACAAATCGCTTCACTACTTATTTTGACTTGACAGCGAGACAATAATTTGAAGAAAATAATTAAGAGACGTGTCAATAATTTTCCATAGATTATGATTTTTTTTATTAGAGTCTACACAATTCCAGTATGGCAAACATTGCAATGCACAAGAAATCCTATCTCAATCAAGAATTGAATACCGATTTCGAGCAAGCACCCGATCAAGCCTGGGGAATAGCCTGATCGACAATTGCTATTCAGGTTTCATGTAATCATGAAATGAGAAACAAATAAATACTGAAATTTAAAGAAATCAATTTACTTATTTAAAATACGATGTTGAAATCAAGTGAATTACCTGCAAAATAAGAATGAAAACGTGCATTGACATTATATCAACATATACTTCCGTATCTATAATAGAAGAACAAGGATAATCGGAACTGAAAATTCCTGATTTTATTCACTTTCTATCTCTCGAACCTTTCGAACTTTTCTAACGGTCCCTTGAACTTCGAGAGATCGAGAGTCACCTGCATAGTGCATATTAGAATATAAAAATAGGAAAAAGGCGACTCGACCCCAGAATTAAAAAAAATGGAAAAGGGGGGAGGGGTCCATACCCCAAGTGTCTGTGTTTGCTTCTAATGGTCTTACTTGGAAGTACACAGTTTAGTGGCATTATCTGTCTAGAATTTTAAAAGGGAACCAAAAAACCATTTGGGTAGCAAAAATGCATACCTCAGAACTAATGCATGAAATGCTAGATATTTTCAAAATTTAATTTAGTGACACATGAATACACCTAGATTCAAGCTACCTCCTAACCTTATATTATGATTTGTTAGTGTACACCAGTTTGTTCACTTTGCATATCATGTAATATGATATCAGTTTAAAGTCCAAATCTAACACAGTGCATAGCTAGTTTACCTTTACCTCAAATCTAGGTCATAGATAGGAGACATTCAACAAACATGGCAGACAGTAAACCCAAATACCCGCTGGGCTCTCCTCAAGAGCATATTGAAATGTGTAAAACCCACAATTTACCTATAGATGTGATATGTGAGGACTGTGATGAATTTATTTGTGGTAAGTGTGCCAAAACAGATCATAGAGATCACGAATGGAACACTCTACCCACGGCAGCCACCCAAAGGAGAAGAGGTCTACTTAACTTTCTGAAGAAGATCAAGGAAGAGGATCTGCCAGGAATGGATGAAAAGATAGAGAACGTGTCAAAACAGATCACAGAAAATAAAGAAGAATGTGATTTTGAGATTCAAAAGCTACAAAAGCATTATGATGAGATAATGAATAGGCTATCAGAAATCAGAAAAATTAATGAACAGAGATTGAGAGATCATATGGAGGAAAAAAATCAAAAGTTGAATGGTGTGAAATCTGAGTTAGACAAAAAGAAGAAAGAAATTACAGAGACGGTTAAGTTCATGGAGGACAACAAGGGTACCATGTCAGATTATAGCTTGATAGACAACCATAGAGAACTGACACAACTGCTGTCTGGTCAGGATGTTGATATGGAGAACTGTAAACATTCAGTGAGATACAATAAAGGAGAAATCAGTGATGAGGTACTGGAGAATATTATTGGTAGAATTCTGGATTTAAGCAATATCAGTTTGATTGAAACAAGCTTATTCAAGTATGGAGATGGACGAATAGTTTTATTGAGGGCATTGTGTAAAGATCAATGTTACATAAGAGAAGTAAATATACTTTACACTGAACAATTAAACAAAGAAGGTGAGAAAAAACACAGATATAATATTAGTCCTTTTCAATTGTGTGTGATTGATACTGGTGATGTTTATTTTACTGACTTTGATAACAATACCATCAGCTGTCTGTCACCATCAGGATCTGTCTCTACAGTCATCAGTACAGATCCACTAGTACCATTAGGAATTTGTCAGTCAGTGGACGGTGGACTACTGGTCACCTTGAGAGACATGGAATTAGATGACTACAAATTAGACTCACGCAGCAGACGTTTGGTGAGACACATCACAGTGACAGGTGATGTCATCCATGAGTATGAGTACCAGGAGGATGGTCAGACCAGACTGTTTACATTACCATACAGCGTCACACAGAACAGTAACAGTGATATCTGTGTTGTGAACCTTACAAGTAACACTACAGGTGAACTAGTGATTTTGTCTCCCTCTGGTAATATGAAGTCTATCTACCGTGGACAGAACCTGACAGAGGATTTTTGGGCAACTGATGTTGTGTGTGATTCCCTCTGTAACATCCTTGTTACGGATCTCTGCAACAGCCAGATCCATCTGCTGAGTCCTGACGGGGAGTTCCTGAAGTTTTTACTGACAGAGAATAAAGTGTACTATCCATGCAGTTTATCACTGTACAAGTCTATACTGTGGGTGGGATACTATGAAGGACTTGTCAAAGTGTTTCAGTACACAATGTAATATACTTAAATTATGATTTATGTCACTCATATGAAATCAACAGATGCCATAAAAGCATGGAAGAATTCATTTAATCTAGTGTATATATTCTGATATATGGAGTGTTCATATTTTGCTATCAATTCTTACAAACATTATATAGTGTATATAGCAAAACTTTTTTCAATGAATCTATATGTTTATCATTGTTTTATAATTTCTTTTTAAAACTTTTGATTACTTCCTGTAGATTTAATGACAATTTACAATACATGTATTTTCCAACATTGTTGCAATACAAATTATTCAGAGTATAATTCACATGACTTCCTGGAGGAGATTAAATTAAGTGAAGTGGGAGTTTGGGGAATTTTTTTTTTTTTTTTATTTTTTTTATTTTTAGATAAGATTTTAGATTCTTAGAGTTTGCAGAAAATCTTTTTCAAAAATAATAACAATAGCAGATTTAGCCCCTCACCCCTTCTCAAACTCAACCCAATCTCTTTTTGCTGCAATCCTTATCTTAAGAAAATCGGCCCCTGCTGCTTTCATATATAAATTTGTGAATGTGTTTTTCATATAAGAAAGGTAATTTATGCCACATGTAAAGATATTTCGTGATTTGCACTCAGTGCACACAATTATAGTGTTCCCAGAAATTGCTGAGATTTTTTACTCAAGCCTCTAAGAGGGGCTTGAGTAATCTAAAACAATGCTAGGTAATCTATTTACCGTACTCAGTTTAAAAACATGAAAATATATTTTTTGTGTAAATAAAAACATTTCTAGAAACAAAAATGAAGCTTATCTTGAAAATATCTATTTATTCAAATTAGGAAGCGTGGAGTGTTGGATTATATTCTATGACGAAGGAATAATGAGTGATGCTCCGCATCTGCAACAGTTTCGATGCAGAAATTTCGCGCTTTCGTTTGCGTAGGAATCTCGGGTTAGTTTTCCAACGACCGTCAATGCGTGGATGAGTTCATTGGTTGGTGACGCAGGTTAATCCTTCTTTAACATTTTCTACAATGATCGATCTGACTACTTTGAGTGATAGTACTTTAATAGCACAAATGTTAAATTCTGTTAAATTCTATCCTCGATAGGCCTATTTTTAAATTTAAAAGAAAATCGGGTTGTTTTCGATAACCCAAAAGGGCAGGGACTTCACATACCTGTTTTGGGTTTGTACGGAAGACTCCATAACTGGAAAGATAGATGGTACACATTAGCACAGGCCTGATTTTGAGGAGGTTGCTCCCCCCTTTTTTTGAAAAATGTTGCTATATAGAGGCCGTGTATAACAAATTTTGCAATGTCGTTTAAGGAAACAGTAATACAAATAAATGCATATTGTATCAAAATATGTTTATATGGACAAATGTTTCAATCATTGTAGAAACTACCGCCACTTTATGCTTTAAAATATTCCTGAAAATGAATAATCAATGTATTGAATACGATTCACTTTTAAAAGTAGTACGATTAATTATACTAATTCTAAGTTCTATATGATATGATATTTATTATTCCAAATCAGGGCCCTTTTGAGCATTATTTAACAGAACATATAAGTATAATGATTATTTACAAATGTGATTGTAGTATACAGCACTATTTTAATAACTTTTTCAATTTACACATGTAATGGTTCATAAGTTGAGATAATTGCTTACAAGTAAAATTTTAAATATACATTGTCAAGTATTAAACAAGTGCGAATTTTTGGTTAAATGATTAAAACTATTTGTTTTTTTACGCAAGTGCAACTTTGTGATTAAGACACTACATGCATGTATAAGTACATAAATGTTGTTTTCTAGTACATGTATTTTATTCAACAGAAGTTGTTGAAACTCAGTAGCCTACATCTTATGCCATCTTAGGATATCTATTACAATTCTTAGTTGACTTTCTACAGCTTGACGTTTTGTCAGTGAATACCTGTTTGTGATATGATTATTTAAATTTTGCATTAATAAAATGTCTATAATTCAGTGTTAATTTTTTTTTCAAAAGTCAACACCTTTCACTTTCTTGTGACGGTTTCAAAAAGATAAAAGGAAGAAGATAGGGCATTGTAAATGTATTTCAAGGAATTGTAAAACCTGGTGATATTTTGGAAACATAGTATTTAACTACCTTTTTTCTATTGTGTGGTAAAAATGTTAAAAAGTAAAACAGTAATTCAGTAACATGTATGCCAACGACACGAAGGAAACATTTACAGTGTTACGAATTCGGCATTCTCCACTATGGTTATGTACAAGTAAACAAATGACAAGTTATTTCTTGTGGAATGAGTCATTAAAATAATGAGTGGATGAATGATTGGATGAAGAATATATACTTATGTTTCATTTTTATTTAGTAATTGTTATTATTAATTAAAGCCAGGATCTTAATAAGAAAATGTCGTATAGTGTACATCTCATTCCGAATTTCCTCCACGTGACTAGGGAAATTCAACACACAATGTAAATACACCATTAATGGTTCAATAACTACATTATTATAAATGCTTACCTATAGTAATTTGGATGAATAATTAGTCCAGTGACTGATAATTTGGGTAAAACCTTACAATTACACATCAGTTTTCATATTAAGCGGTAAAAGCTGTAAAGTACGTTCGGAACACCTCGGATGAGTACAGTAAACTAACTGCACCCGAAGTCTTCCAGTGATTTGAAGTTATGGCGCCAAATCGTCATGCATGGGACGTCATAGAGGATCTAACTGGTATAAATACGAGCTCCGCGGGCTCTGACAGACAGACGTCTGCAGTCTCACTTACAGTAAGATTCTGCCACTGTAACAACAATGACGCTCACAGAGCTTGGTCCAGAAGAATTTAGATGGGTAATTATTATTAACCTAATCTAACACTGAATATTTGTTAGCAACTTTTAATTGCTTTATTTGTTTATGCATTTTAAAGTTTCATTCAGACACAAGTAGTGATCTGAACTCACCGTTGTTGGTTACTATTTACTCAGGCACAAGAAGTGACCTGAAATTGATATTATAACTCCTGATATTATTATTAACAAATGCATGGTGCATTGTATTGAATTTTACTGAGAAATTAGCATAACTTTTTGTCCCTATACAAATAGTTGTTTGCTATAACCTCTAGTATTTCATATTTATACTCAGTAGTGAAGAAATCACTGATTCAATCTTTAAACTTAGACCTAAAGGCATCAGGTCTGTTCATGTTTACTAAAGGGTTTGTTTAAGGGTGATTTAAGAATTAACATTTGGTGGAAAGGGTGGTTGGTTTGTTTTTATTTCAGGTGCAGACTGCAGAGCCAAAGAAGAGTTTTGTGTACATTTATTTGAATAAAATCTAATAAAATAATAAAAACAATTTATATCCTGTTGTCTTTCGCTCAACATTCAGATTAAGGAGCCCCACGCCGCTAAACATAGACAGCCGTAAGTCGTAACAACAGGTTGAAGTAGGTTTGGATATCTGCTTTTTGAGACCATGAGGCTTGAGTGTAGAAAAATGGCGTTAGTTTCTTATGCCCACCACATCCCTCTCTTTCCTGAATCAGTTCTCTTTTTCAATGTTTTGTCCACCATGATATGATTCGAAATAGATAATTTAACATCACAAAACTAGATGTGTCAGTATGATACAAATGCCCTTGCTGTCATGCGAGTTTAAAGTATGTGAAAGTCCAAGAGTGTGAAAATAACAATGGGTGAAAATGGTACAAAAATAAAATATCATTGCTGCTTTTTTATGAAATAGGTTTTTTTTAAGCCATAGCATACTTAGGCTTTGTGAAATGGTGATCACTTACAAGCAAATCGATGAGAAAGTACCAATAACTGAATAATTAGAAATTTTCAAAGTCTAAGGACCATTACTTTCAGAATATGGGTCAATTAAATATAAAACACAAGTCATCTGTAAGTCAGCGATATGAAGAGACAAGCCAATATCAGCTCATTATCTAAAAAAAAGTACAACACAGCAAAAAGTACTGGAAAACAATAGATTATTATTTATTATCAAGGGCTTTAGGGCAGTAACTTTTGTAAAATAAATGAATAAATCATCACAAAACTCGTACTTAATTTTTAATCTGTAAGTCATCAATATCAAAACAAAAAATAAAAAAAAAAAACCCAGTGAATTGATAGAAATTTTCAAAGTGTAACTTTGATAATTTTGTAAAATGGGGCAATACAAAATGCAGACTTGATCTGTTAGTCATTAATTTCAAGAGACATACCACAAATCAGCTCATTTTTTACAAGCACAGCAAAAAAGATTCCTTCAAAGAAAGAATTATTAGAAATTTTTAAAGTCTCACAAAAAGTCCAGAAAACTTATTGTGATTGAATGACGATGATAGATAGAAAGGGGTAACTTTATGCCCTTGTCATTTCATGGTGGGGGCATTACAATTCTCATTAATTTCATTATATATCAAGTACGAGGGGTTATCAAAATTTTCGTGGACTGATGCGATAAAATTAATACTATGTAGTTTATGTTTACGAAATTTGTAAGGAACATTAAATAACAAAGGTTTAAGAAGTGTGGAAAATTTTAGCTTGATACGCTGACAATTTGCCAAATTATTATAAAATAAAAAAGGCATTATATGATCACCCGGCGCTGTCGTCGTTTAGTTTCATGACGTCCGACAACGTCATTATTTCTCAATGCCTGCTCCTTCTGTCTCAAAACACTTATCTTGATGAGATTCCCTGGAGTTTAGAAAAACATAAAACCTGTCTTGTTTATATGACATAACAATGTCATGAACAGCTGATTTCAATGCATATAAAATTGTAAATGTATCTTTACTTAGGGAAAGATCCTCGCATGATTATGCCAGCATGTTTTGCTTGTTGGAGTTCACATATAAAACATACATTTTCACGAGATTAACTTTTCACACCTTGACTACAAATCGACATTAACTGCTCATCTCTCAGAATCTCTTTCGGCATTTAATAACAAGTACTCTGGATGCATTTTATTTCTCTGTAGCCAGTTTAAACTTTCCCTAAGTCTATACCAGTTT